CAGATATAAATCAACAACACTTCTAAATACAGTAAAATAACAATGCATTTAGTATTTACTAAAGTATATTCCACTGCGTGTCCTAATTTCCTGCCCATAAAACCCGATAACCACCGTTTTCGTAGGAAAACATGCAGGTTTTAGGGAGTAATGAGTAAGGCTACAAAAGCTACTGTTGCCGTCCAACTTACAGTTCTGGAGTTAGATTAGAAATACCGTTTTCGTAGGAAAACATGCAGGTTGTAGGGATTAATGAGTGGGGCTACATAAGCTACTGTTGTCGTACTCTAGACAGAAGCTCCTTTAGTGTAGTCACTTACGGGTCAAAATTTGACCTTGACCTGATCCCTAAACGGCCCTCGTAATTGGTGGCTCAGTAGGCTAGCAATTCCAGTGTAACTGCCACTCCTGCTCCTACAACCAGTAAAGAAGGCGGCAAAGTGCTGGTGGGCGGAATTATGCGCAAACAGGATAAGCGTGGGAAAGTCCCATTTCGGGTGGCCATTTTTTCCCCGCGGTCGAGGAATTGTCATTTTTCATAATTAGATTTCCTTGCAGCGCCTAGGGCAACGAGACAGTCCCAAGGTCTTTTGCTTAGACTCGCGTGATCGGAATTGGTGTGGTGTGGTCCGCCTGCACCCATTCAGATTCATCTCCACAAAAATGAAGTAGATTTCTGTAAGATGGAGGCGAATTGACGAAAGGGGAAAGAAAAGTCGGATATGCACCTTCAGGTATTTGCGTCAATTGCACTTCATCAACTAATTACGCATATACTCTCACAAAGTTCACGGGCAAAGTAATCATGAGATCTTTGTGTGATATACACAAAAATCCTATTCGACACAGCTGGATCGTAAGTCAATTTGCCAGGGCTTATTTATTACAATTTTATCAGCCAGAAAGCCAATATGCGCAATGCGGGCTTGAAAAGTGAGCGTCGCTTTTGAATTTTCAGCACCTAAATGGGCAGATAAATTAAGATTTGGAAAAGGGAAAAGCACTTTAGAAAAATAAAAGGCAAAGCCTCAAAGCGCTTATATTGCAAACATCATTTTTCACTTATTTTTACGCCTGTGCGAATAGGTGCCATTTAAGTTTGGAGACTGGTACGCATCTTTGTAGAAATACCACTCATGATAGTCGAAAAGTATATGTGCAATTATGAGTGTTTGATGCATTATTTAAAAGAAAATAGTTTTACTTTCAAAGACTTATGAGGAATTTGGTTCCTGACACCTTTTTTTCATTTTTAGTCCCGTTGTACTACCAACCCCATTTCCCCCGCTCTGATTTCAGCTACTTTTAGAGTGTGTATGCCATGTTACGAAAATTGATCAAACGCAGAATCCTATTGGACTTCAGGTCAATCGAACATTTAGTTGAATTATAGAATGATCCAGAATAAGGAATAGCGTTCACCGGGAGATTTTTATTGTGGGTCTGAAATTTTGTTTAGTTGTTTCGTCTACCCATCTTCAAAGACTGAAAATTTTGGTTAATAGCTCTAGTTATAGGCTGCTGTTTTTTTCTTTTGTGTAGTCTGCCAGTACCAGCACACCCGAAAAAAACAGTAACATATAACGAGAGCAATAAAGTGGAATGTTCAGTGTCTTAAGGTGCGTAGACAAAAAACTATCCGAAACTTCAGACACACAATAAACCCCTCCGGTGAATGGTATTCCTTCTTCTGACTTACCACCTAGTAATGGCATTTTCACTACTATTAAGATAAGATGATTGTGCGCCTGAAGCTAATTTACGAAAGAGCTACCCGTCGGCATCACATAGACCACTTCAATCCCCCCTTGCACCGTAAATTCATACGATAGCACAGCATTCCATCTGAACTGGGTGACTTGCCTCACCATTAAAACCAATTTTTATAATTAAAGCCAGTTATTTCGAACTTAAATTTCATAATTCCTCCGTAAGCCTGCCACAGATGCTACGTTTCGAATGATCGGCTTAAAAGCTTTGACTAATATCCGCTAAAACTAATTCCAGTTGATCCGCTTCCCTTTCTGTCAAAGATTATCAGTCCGGCCTCCAGGGTAGACAGTTATCAAGTTCAACTGTCGGAAACCGAATGCTGGAAACCACCAATGGCGACCGATATCCCTCTTCACAAACAAACAAGGTCAGCACCAGCCAAGCAGACCAGGCAGTGATTGCTGGAGACAGCCGAATGACCGCCAGCTCATGTATCGATTCCACTGAGGCCTTCCGCTCCGAGCTTGATTCCTCTTCGACAACAGTGGCACCGAAGTCATATGGAACTTCTGGCAATACGAATGAAAGCTATCTGCCTACGCAGGAATCGACCGAAACGGACGGCAAGCAGCCATTCAAGCAGTTAGATTCCGTACACGACCTGAAGCACGCTTTCTCTGTAAGTCTACTAGATTTCTGATGTGATATGTATATCCGCTGTATAAGAATAAAAGGATTAAAGAGTAAGAACGTTTATAAGGAAGATAAGAAAAACTCGTAAGGTATTATGTCATCCAGTCACTGTCAGCCATCGGTCTTAGAACTGAGACGTCTGACTATTCTCTACTTTGCACCTTCCGTTATAGACCCGTTTATTAGCCAAAGTATGACGAATGACATCTATTTGATGCAAATGCGCCAACTTTAAGTCACCACTTTTTTAGGATGGAAGTTGTAGTGTGCACAGCTCTGCCTACTGGTTTCGTAAACGCGCTTCTGTAAATTGAGCTCCAAAGAAAGAGTGATCATAGGGCAATTTTACTTGGCACCGCACATTTTGTCCTAACTTTGACAACTTCGTCGATTCTTGAAAGTGCTCAACAAGTAGCAGTACTTACATTTACGGCATAATATTTACGGTCAGCCACCGATCTCATACAAAGCTAGCAAAGCTAACAAGGCATTTTTGATTAGGAATAGCTACTTGAGTGAAATTGTAAGAGTTTTTTATTCAACGAGTTTACTTCCAAAATAATTCGGACACAGCAAGATGCCGGCTTCCGACTGAGCTTCTTTTTGTTCCCCTGAAAACATCATTCGAAAAGATTACTACTTACGTTGTGTGCACGTTGATGTATATTTTCAAAATTTTCCTATATGCGCAAATATTCGAGGTGCAGATATAATATTCCTTTCATCATTCCCGGAAGAGGAGGAAGAAGAAGGGACAATTTCTGAGACCAAGTTGTATTTAAGTTGACGTTTCGAAAACATTCTAGTTTTCATCGTCAGAGCGTAGTGTCTGTTCTTCTGTTGGCGTCAAGTGAGTGTACCTGACCGTTAGACGCCTGTTATAACTGTGCCTGATGCTCGCACGTCAATCGATTGTATCGATCGATCGTTGGTGACTGCTTGAATTGTTCTCGCCCTCGCGGGCGCCTCCATGCAATTTATCTCGTCGTTCATGTGCCTTCTGAGCGTTGCAACCTTCTTCGCTCAGAGTTGCCGGCTGTTGGCCCTGCGCTTCTTCCTTCGCCCGATCTATAGCTCTGTTATGAGCAGATGTTAGCCTTG